TTCAAAAACTCAAACCTCTCGGCAGGCAGCAAGTTGTTCATTGATGAGAGATGGAACCCTTTGGCCTTGATTCCATGATAGGTACCGTAAATCTGGGGGGGGGGGGGGGGGGGGGGTGGCTTTTCTGCCTGCCTATCCCCGGGAGTGAACCCGGACCACAAGGAATTCGTCACCCGGTCATCGCGAAGTCAGGCTTAGCCAACTACGATAGAGAGCCGGGCAGCTATATAAGATAACCCAGCCCTATGTACTGTGCTAGCGAAGCCCTCACTGGAAGCAAAGAATAGTTATGCTGCCCAACACCAAGACCGTCGTTGGTCTTGGAGTTGGCTGCCTTTTCCTGTAAAACCAAATGGGGGGGGGGGGGGGCAAAAATAGGAAAAAACCCAGTCAACAATTATGAGGGGAGCTCTTCTAGCAGAATATGCATGACACGGTGCGGAGAAAGCTTAAATGAGTCCGGACTGTTTACGTACATCCTTTCAACTAGGAACATCTCCAGAACTGGCACCTAGATTGTTAGAACTTTGTACGATGTAGGAGTTAGTTAAAAGCCTACGCCCCATTGGAAGAATGCAGGCAGAAGAAGAAGAAGAATGTAGTCGATCGTATCGAATTTGACTTTGAGATAGAAGATGTACCATAGAGCTAGACATAAAAGGAATAGGAAAAAAAAAGGGGGGGGGGTGGCGGGGGTAAACAACATTTTATAAAAATTCGGAACATCTTTTGCAACAAATCCCTTGCGGATGAGGATAACCCGTGTAGATGTCCCGGAAACCCCGTTCAGCCGTTAGGTTATATTTAGGGCCCGGCTATATTTAGTGCCCCCGGTAAAAGCCAGGGTGGGGTTTTAAATAACGAAAAATTGTATCTCACATGAGGACAGCGTGGATTTTAAATCTAGAGGTGCAGAATTTCTGCTGCCATTATGGGCTCTTTTGCTTAAAGGTTGGTGAATGCATTTAACGATGTCATGATCCTCGAGTAGTAAGATTCCGACGACCGAGCCTGTAAGTCTCTCGAGAATCGCTTTATTCATCTCTCAGACGCCCAGTCACGTAGGGGACACCCACGCCGTCTCCAAATATTGCTACCGGGTGTCGCGGGGGAAAATCCAACCAGTTTTATATAATACTAGCTGTACCCGGCCATGCGTTGCTGTGGCATAGTTTGGCTAAATAGAAATGAAAGAAAATAGAAATCACACGTGTCTAATACAATCATTGTCTGCTCAGATATAGATATAGTCTTTAATCCCCACCCCACCCCCCCCTCCCACAACTAAATCCACCTACTACCCTCTCCCTCATCAAAGGATTTTGGAAAAGAAAGACAATGGAAATCGCACCTGTCTAATATAGTTAATGTCGCAATCATTATCTGCACATTTATATAGAGATAGTCTGGTTTTCCAACTTTAGAACACGCACCATATAATTGTGTCTTTATATTAGTGGTCGTTTAAATGGTGCTATTAGCACAGTAACAAAAGTGGTTATTTGGTTATCACATGCTAAAGCTGTTTGTATTTTTATAGGAGACGTAAGTAAAGCTTCTACTGTGCTTGTAAATAACAAAGTAAGTCGCTCAAAAATTAGAATAGTGAAGGTAGTGTTAGTAAAATATAAACAATTTAAGTAAGTAATGAGAACTTAAAAATCATGTGTAAAGCTCTTCAAGTTCTCTTAAATTTCAGTCATTACCCTCTCCCCTCCCTCTTCCACCGACTACTACTCTCTCCCTCTTCGAAGGATTGAAAAATCATCCCCTGGCGATATTCTTTTTGTTGTAACTGAAATTGACATCCCTGTCCATCCGGACTAAATTGGGAGCAGGAATTGTAATAGGAAGTGAATGCGGCAAATGTAATATTTACCGCATCATCCTTCAAGTACCAGTACAAATACTACCACGACCACCACCACAGTAGCTAAAATAATGTCACTGCTATCTGTTTTACCATCGGAGTAGACAGGGAGTCGTGAGCCAGAAGATTTGGTGCCGCATGGCTAGTGCTGTCGTAACGGACTGGTCAGGTTAGGATGTATGATTTCGCTCTCCGACAGAATAATGCCATAGCCTTACCGGCGGTCTTCACATGAGAGCACTACGGTGTAACCGCCCAACCACAACTACTACTGCTGCTGCTACTTTGAGTGGGTAAAGCAGTTACTGTGACTTAAAGCTCTCTCAGTAATCAGTTCCCCCCCCCCCCCCCCAAATTCACCGACTTCTCTTTCCCTCATCGAAGTAGTTGAGAGGGGGAAAAAACCAATTAAAAAGCAATTAAAACAGGAAAAATACACCAACATTAGGAAATGAACGCTATGGTAAACAGCACAGATTAAAATTCCAACGAAGATTAAATAATTAAATCTAAATGAAAATAAATGGAAAGCTATGAAATTTCAGCGTAACCATGCAATCGAACAGTTTAAAATGAAGTCATAAGTATGTGAGATGGTCAAATTTAATTATCAACTTGTTTACCCACAAACCTGTCCTTGTTTTTTTTTTTTTTTTTTTATATATATATCATTAAGGGCCATATGGCTAGTGCTGGTTTTTTTTTTTTTTTTTTTCACTCTAAGTAAAAAAAAAAAAAAAAAAAAAACTACTGCGGATTCGAACCCTGGTCTCCCTCTCAAGAGCCGAGTGTTCTAACCATTCGACCAAGCAAACACTCGATCGGAATAACGAAAAGAGAACATAACTATTTTTGATGTGTGTCCCTACTGCAGTGTCCCGATTATAAAACAACTCAAAACAGCAGGCAATTGTTTTCCAAATATATTAATGAAACGGCACAACAAAAGAAATCGCACGTGTCTAACACGGTTAATGTCGCAGTCAATGTCTGCGCAGACGTCGAAATAGTCCCTGATGCCCCCTCCCCCCCCCCCCTTTTTTTCCCTACTAATCCATCGGCTACTTTTCAACTCATCGAAGGATGTTTGAAAAAAAAAACAGAAAATAGAAATCGTGTCTAATATAGTTATTGTGGCAATCACTGCCTGCACAGATATAGATATAGTCTTGTTTGCTGTACCACGACCTACTCTATGTATTAGAGGAGGTGTTGGCTACACGGCGTATGCGCAATTACTAACGTGGCTATAATTAGAAATCAATAAAATTATAAATTTTAGTTTCGAATATTATGGCTTAAATTGTGGTCACCTATCTCTAACAGTGACAGGTTGAATTTCAAACCATGATGGTTCAACATCCGGTATCAAAACAAACATATCCTGAAAATTTCAGCTAAATCGGTTCAGTAGTTTCCGAGTCTATAAGGGGCAAACAAACACACAAACATTGATTTTTATATATATAGATTTTAGAGTTACGGTCCTTGCTTTTTTTTTTTTCCTTTTCTTTTGGCCAGTATTTAATCGTGGCTGTCACACACGTGCTTATTCTGGCGATACAGAAATGTGACTTCTCTCGGAGATACGTCAGTTATGTCATGTTGTGTAGTTATGTTCACTGACGATTTTTGTATGTGCTGATGAAGGTTTTATAGCCGCAAAGTTCACTTGTTGTGCTTGTCTTTGTGATACTGTGAAGCTAACTTTTCGTCTGGGTTTATATCTTTTCATGACAGGATTCAATTTGCGTAGCGGACTGCTTTTATTTTATTTATTTTTTAATATTTTTTTTTTTCAATAAAACGTTCTCATGGTTTAGCAACAACGTTAGGATAGTCGAGCCATGGAAGAGACTTGGACCTCGCCATGTAATATTTACAAAGACAACAATGGGTACAGTGTAGCCAACCTTTGTTGTGTAGCTGGTACACAGTGTTGTTTGGGAAATTATCCACACTGGACTATATGTTATTTTGCAAACGTTTTGTTATGTTCAGTATAAGGGTTTCCAGGAACTGTTCTTGTTTCATACTCATCATTACTATGTTCACCTTACAGACTGCAATCCTCGAGTGGGAACACCTTTTTTTTTAAATAAAAATTTTGAAAATCGGTTATGTTTCACAAGCATGTAACATTACCTATTTCTCATTGAATAAACCGTTTGTGAATAAACATAGATTGATGCTCTATTACCCCTGTGAATGACCGTAGCCGCTTACGTGACAAGACAAACGAGTCTGACATTAGACTCCGCTGTGTGAATGTCAATCCAGAATGTCACTGAAGGTGCCTTCACAGCAATCATTCAAAGGGAAAATAATCCCAATCGCAAAACCGGAAAGGTCATACACATTTGGCGCCAAAATGGGTTAATGATAATTTACTTCCGCTGAAAGAGAAACAAGATGGCGGAACACAGAAAACTTAAAAGTATATGATACTCTATAATGTATGTGATAATGTCTACGAAAATGAATATGATAATACAGAATAAAGAATGTTGTGGTTTATCCTTGGCATCCACACACACGAGCCTTGGTAAAAGCGCAATGAACGAGCCAATCAACTGGCAAGTACTGCACAAATGCGTGTGAGAAAAAGCATGGACAGAGCTGATATCATCAACGCTGTACGGAATAAACGCCTATGATGATGAATCTGAAGCGCTAGCAAGATTGCAGAACCTGTGAGCAAAGCGTTGTGAAGCATGTTTATGCCGTCTTTAATGTTAAGATAGGGTAATTAATTATAATCAACTTTCATGGAAACAATCATAAGAGATACTCTGGAGTGGCTGCTACATATGAGGACTAAGTACGCACGGGAATGCACCAACGTGATGTGACGTCGTTTGTGATAACAAAACATCCACATAAGCGGTTTTTGTGACCTTTGTCTTCATTAACATATTTCCATATAAAGAACACTCGGTTGACATGAACAACATTTTGGTCCAAGCAGGGATATATGACGACCTCCTGGAGCTTTTAATCTACTGCCGGAGGGCACGGGATATATTAATCTGAGTCAATCGACCCTTAGCATGAAACTTTTTACACAAACTCTGTTCTTAGAATTCGTGTTACCGAGGTTTACCGTAGAAGATATGGAAAAATGTGTTACCAGTCCAATAGCAATGAAAAAGAGTTGTATGACGTCCGTGTAGGCCACAGAGTAGAGGCCTCCAAAGACTGTGTATATAATGGCAACAGCTGCAGACACCACGATAGCCACAGTAGCGTTCATGTCCAGGATGATAGAGATTGTGGCACCTGACGATGATAAAAGTAGACAACATTTCATTTGTTTATACAATAAATACAAGCTGTTTTACAAATCGTTTCACAAACGACATCACAATTAAATAAAGTATGTTTCGTGATAATGCTAAGCTACGCACTATAAAAAAAAAAATATCATGGCTCCCAGATAGACCCAGCTTTAAATGGGCACCAGGTAAAGTCCTGGAATGTCAAGGTGGTCGTCATGTTGTTGACCACATCACTCCCCAAATGCCGATTTGTCAATAAAATATTCTTCTGGCCTTTAAGCCCTGTACGCCAGAGGGGGCATAAATGGTTCTTTAATTACTTACAAACACACTATAGTAGCACTATAATGCTGTCGCTGTAATATGGTGTTTGTTATATTAGTTGATGTTGTTCTTGTTGTTGTTGTTTATTGATGGTGTTATTAATATTGTTTTTGTTGCGTCTACAGTCATCACCATCATTATTGGTAGGTTTTATAAAACACGCACAATAAATTATCTAAGCGTCAGAGTAGCTTCAAGTTTATAATGGATTCCTTCTGCGTACACAAGAACGGGGTGCTTACTTTTATTGTTAAAGCTTTGGCCACTCTTAGCATTCACCTGTATGGATTGTGGTAAATCACAGGAAGGCAATATCCTTGTCAATTAATGTCCAGAATCAACTAAATGACGTCCTATAGAAATGTGCTGCGTCCTTTTGTTTGGTCTCGACATCAACTAGAATCACTTAATTTTGCATGTAGCAATTTGGGTATATAGTCTGTTATTTTACTTTCAAGTTGTCTCTAAGTTTCACCAATGAAAGTCAACTTACATTTACATGTAAATTGATAAATACAGTACGAAAATAGGCAGGGTTGGGATGGAAGTAAAGGTAAAGTCGCGAGATGTGAACCAGCGTCGTTGCACACTGTTATAAACCATTAGTGCTCTGCCACCAGTACAGACATCTGATAAGAAACTATCCGTCTGTGTCGCCGTCAGGACGAGAATCCGTAGCTACAGCGACGTTTCCCAATTTACCACAGAGTGTTTAACTCTGGTACCCATTGTCGTGAGGTGAGCAGCCAACCCTACACAATGGACGAGTCGTGACTTTGACTTCCCTCGCGCTCAGTCAAATTTCAAACTTAAACCCGTCCGGAAGGGTATACAGTCCCTTATATTGATATATACCTTTATCTGGTAATATATTCATTTCTAGACCCTCTAGTTGCTTTGATGAATCTTCATTTTCAAATTTGCAACTGTAGGTTGACGATTTCTGTTAATTTATTTAGAAATTCCGGTAAACCGGTTTACTCCTTGGGCAGGAATGCAGGGGACTTCTTTCCTAGAGACGCTAAGTTGGATTTTGAAAAAAACATTCTTTCGCCTGATCCCAAAGTGTCAAGACATACAGTCTATGTAGAAATTGGCGCATTCAAAGTTCCATTTCTATCTTGGAAGATTTCCTAAGCTTGGGTAAGTTGATTATAGTTTACGAGTACCATAACTGATGTCGTTTTAAAGTTGGCCACTGCTGCAGAGAGGGTAGAGTCAGCTGTGTGATCGCACAGTGTTCGACCGTTCTTGATGTCCAGAGATCAGGCTCTGGACATTAGACCTTCCCCTGTACATACTAATTAGTTGGTGCTCTACATAACCCACACCATTTGTAAAGATATTAAACCCTACAAGTAATTACTCTCTGACCAGTCAAACGAAGCTTTGTGCCGCATAACAGAAATAAGGAATCTAGGTCATCTTTAACCGGTGAAATACTGTGCCGTCAGGGCTAGGCGCTCTGAGTCAAAGGTGTGTTTGACACAGATTCAGTGGGTGTGTAGTGAACGGCCTGTGGAGCGGAATATATATATATATATATATATATATATATATATATATATATATATATATATATATATATATATATATATATATATATATATATATATATATACATATATATATATAGGTACTAACTGTAAACATTGTATGTCTGCGAGTGCAGATGTGAGGGTGGAGAGTGGATGATCTATGTGTGGTAGTGTCTATCTATCTCCACTATATACCTTGTTTTCTATCCTTTGCACTATTTTACAGACAGATAAATGAAAGGAGACATTGTCTCCTGTTCTTGAGAGTTACACTCTGAGGAATGGAGAAAGGTGGCAGAGGTGAGAGAGCGCTTGTGTGAATAAGGTTGATTACTAATTCTGAGTTCCTTCCTGACAGGATGATACCTCCTTAGAGATCAGGCAGACGAATCACAGACCAGCTAACAACCACCAACCTATACCATTCTGTGCACCAAGCAGATCCAAAAGTCCTGTATACTGTGCCACTACCTCAACATGGCAAGAGCTTGTTTGTGAGTTCCAGGACCAGTGGACAATTGCAGAAACCTATGTCATCAATCCAGAGAACCAGTCTTCAAGAGCGTTGTTGGGCTATTATGCATTTATTGTGTCATTACCTGTGAGACCGGCAGCGGGCATCACAGTCTCCAAGAGCTTTGGTGGGCTCCTATGCAGCTCTTGTGTCCTCGTTTGTGACAGTCAGCTTGTACCAGATCACGTCGAGGCCCAATTACTGATTGAGTTAACTACAGTCGAATCACCATGGACTGAAAGGAGCATTGACCTACGAACTGGGCTAAGTGATCTTTTATTCACATTACATGCTCTTTTCCCACAGCACCGTATAAGTCCGATGATGAACTCATGTACTCTCATGGAACAATATCTGGCTGCTTCAATATCTGGGTTGTGTCATTGATTCCTGAACTCCATTAACTAAACATTCTTGAGAATCTATTCCTTATTATATGTATATATTGTACTGATTAAATGCATAAATTTTCATGGCTGATTTGGGTGTCCCGGTATCACAATTCTGTCTAGCTTTGATGTTTGTGTGAGTAATAAGTGTTATCTGTGTTAACATGGCTATGATAGTAGACTATCATAACCTGGGGGCTACTTTTTTATAGTAGTGGGGGTGTCCAGCCAAGTGTGCCTATGAATATTATATATTTTGTAGTGCTAAAACTTGAGTTGCCCTACTCCTGAAATAAGTTGAGCGTATATTGGCCACGGGGCATCCCTTAGACCAATACGAGCCAACGACTCAACACAATTATTTCAAAGTGCTGTTGGTTCTTAAGGAGAAATCCTTAAATCAGGCACGTGACAGGAGCGATATGTGACACCCATTACCTAAAGGCTAAGTGAACCCCGGAAACCGCCCGGCTTCTAACACCGGCCGTGGGCTGCAGCGAGTCGCAGCTGGAATTAAAAGCGAGTCTCCTATCGATGAAAGTGGTCTTGTTCACTACTGGAAGAGCGGAAAAGAATGTTTGCCAACGGCTGTTTGTAGTCGGTCCTGGGCAAGTTGCATGGAGTAATGTATAAAGTCTTCCGGCACATCTCCCATCGAGGGTCGACTGGAGAAACATAAATTAGTCAATCATCTCATGCCTGCTGCACCATTGGGGGGGGGGGGGAGGAGTTCTTTATGTTACTAACTTACTTACTAGACCGTGTTTCCCCGAAAACATGACCCACCCTAAAGAATAAACAGTTCTATCGTGAATTTTCAGGATGATAACCAGATAAAATATCGTGACGACTGGAAAGATCACTGGTAGAAGAGGGAGTCAGACCAAGAAAAATGATGGTGGATGATAATGAGTCATATAACCCTTATATCGTATATGAGCCCTAGTTAAGATTGTCAGGCAGAAGGGTGTGTTTCGTGTGTCAGTTAAAATATACAACGGACGTGTTGAACAATAAAGTAGTGAATCTGGAATTAAATATTGGAAAATTAATATTTTGAAATACTATTTAAAATAATTATATAACCTTAGCGCTTTAAATTAAATTACATATTTTTTTTAAATGATTTAAATTTGTGTATTAAAATCAAGTAAACGTACATTTTTGAAGATAAAAAAGTAAGATGTCTCCTGAAAATATGTTATAAAGTGCTTGTTATAGGCATAAGTTAATGGTCTGATGTTGGGAGCGGTCGTGGTGAAGCGGCTAGACAATTGACTGCGGATCGGAAAGTCGTGGGTTCAGGCCTTGAAGGAACCGGTCTTAAATGGGTGCCAGCTAAAGTCCTTGGAATTGAAGGTGGCCGGCGTGGTGTTGACCACATCACACAACGAGGGCCGATTGGTCTAGAAAATATAGATCTAGCCCTATATGCCCAATGCACAAGAAGACGGGGAAAAGCCTCCTTCACTTTACTTTACTGGACTTTAAGATTTGTAGTAAAGTCTACCTCTAGTAAAACAAACTAGAATGTTAAGCTAAAGTAAGTTAAGACAATATAGTTTTTGAAGAAAGAAAATATATACTAGAGGTGTATAGAGTTTTAAAAAAATGTGCAATAAAATAGTCCATAATATAATGCAAGTATAATGCGTTCCAAACGGCGTGTCCTTACACTGTAACTCTTTAAGTCCCAGAGGGTTTAGCATCACAGGCCCAAGGGGTAGTCAAAAGAGACGAAAAATAGGCGCATCATGCGTTCACTAAGCTTATAGACAGTAACCTATGAACGTATAATGCGTTCCTTGTGACTCAAAGAGTTAAGATATATTTCAAAAGTTCCTGTACTGATCAACACGCATGTTTGCATGTTGCCTTGGATTTCCCATGTTTATAGGATTTTGTAATTTACAATTCAATAGCTGCTGTTGCTGTTGTCTTAAAGTTTTGAATTTCTGTGATGTTTGTTTGACTAATAATTTAAGTACCCCTAAGAGAATAGAATAAACAGTAATAAGCATACGCGTGGAGATTAAAAATCATGTAACATGTGCATCGATGCATCATGATTACTTTGATAGCCTATTCCCCATACAATGAAAAATTTAAAACTCACAGGGGGGGGGGGGGGGGGTGATGGGAGCTAGTGCTGGAGATGACCGCATGAGAGTGAAACACACCTAAAACGCGTGCAAGCTGAGTTTCAAAAGTTTCCGTTACTCAATTAATTGTACACGTGATGACTGTTTGCTTTGAATAGTTTTTTTTTTTTTTTTTCGTTTCCTGCAAATAATGCAAAATGAAAGCTAGATAAGCATCCTAAATTTACATTACAAATAATTTTTAGGACATGAATATTAACAGACGGCATGCCAAATTTCAACAACTGACACCGAACTGTTACTGAATTACATTTTTTTTTTAAAACTTGGTTAAGCCTTGTGAAACGCACTATAACAAACAAAAGACGATGGTCGCCTCACCTAAAGCCGCTAGCACAGCTGCTGACCAGAACAGGTCACCCAGAATATGAGGTATAAATAAAATAGCTCCAACCTTCTTGCCGTACTTTAGCTGAAAGGGGTCGAACATGGTTATGTATTTCTCCTCCCTCATCTTTGGAGCATAGAATATGGCACCTTTTGTTGGAGACAAGTAGTAACATTTAGTGACACATAAATAGTAGGGCTTTCCCGTGAGCCGGACAATTGCAGAATCAGGTAAAAGCATATGTAAACTTGACTCTCCCCCCCCCCCCCTCTTATTATTTGTATTATAACTATTATTATTATTTTTTTTTATCTGAATCTTTTTATTATTTTCTTTTTCTCTCTCTCTACTATTCCTCCTCCTGCTTTTCTCCTTCTTGTTTTTTTTTTTTCTTATTCTTCTTCTTCGTCTTCTTCATCTTCTTATTCTTTTTGGTCTTCTTCTTTATCTTCGTTTCTGCCTCTTATTATTATTATTACTATTATTATTATTATTATTTTACTTTAACTTTTCCTCTGCTTTTTCGTGTTTTTCTCCTTCTTCTTCTGCTTCTTTTTTCAGCTTCAACTTTTTCTTCTTATAGTTCTTCTTCTTGTGATTGTTATTGGGGTTGTTGTTAGAGCTGCTGTTATTATTAATAATAATATTATCCTCCTCCTATGCTTCTTTTTCTTCGGATGTTCATTCTTTAACAGACAGTGTCATTTTTTTCAACTCTCCGCTCTTCTGTGTTACCAAGTATAATTGAGCAAACTGGTGCTACTTCAAGTTTGGCATCCAGACTATGTATTAAGCTCTCTCTCTCTCTCTCTCTCTGTCTCTCTCTCTCTTTCTTTCTCTCTCTCTCTCTCTCTTTCTTTCTCTCTCGCTCTCTCTCTCTCTTTCTTTCTCTCTCTCTCTCTCTTTCTTTCTCTCTCTCTCCTTCTCTTTATCTCTCTCTCTCTCTTTCTCTCTCTCTCTCTCTCTTTCTTTCTCTCTCGCTCTCTCTCTCTCTTTCTTTCTCTCTCTCTCTCTTTCTTTCTCTTCTCTCTTCTCTCTCTCCTTCTTCTCTTATCTCTCTCTCTCTCTCTCTCTCTCTCTCTCTCTCTCTCTCTCTCTCTCTCTCTCTCTCTCTCTCGTGTCTAGGGTTTCGCCTACAAGGTTTGTTTTTCCATTGATATACCTTGTTCGTTTGATTTCCCTCTGATTTTGTTTAGTATCACTTGCACCTGTCTCTACCTCGGCATTTAGTTTTATTTCTTCAACATTCACCAACAAGCAATACTCAGCCGGCCCCAGTTTCACCACTTTGGTAATTTTATACATGAACTTATGAAATGTTTTATATAGTCAATAGTTTTCTTTGATGCACAGAACTACTCTCGCTCAGAGCGCTGACACCGAGAAAGGGATAGCATTCAAGGGGCTAATTCCTACTTCAAAAGCTTAATAACAGAAATAATAATAAGCCTCGATGGATTCCGCATCCCCAATGTGGGGCTGGGGGAAAGAACAGACACGTTTTCTTCTAATTGGTATTTCGTAAAAGGTCCTTTTTACATATATAGCTTATGCAGACTGTTAGTTCTCAAGCAGATGCACTCCGACTTCGAAAGAAACATTTTCAATTAGTCGACTCTTACGATCTTAGGACATGCTTGTTAGGGTGCTGTGGGTCTATCCCCCTCTCCCCCCTCCCAGTTACGCCCCGGATCCGACACAGAGATCCTCTTGATTTTGTTCCAAGACTTGTGTATTGGTTGTACACCCGTTTTACAGGTCTTGCTTATTTGTGTGCAGACTGTTGGTTCCTTGCCTCTCAGGCTCCAACCTTCTTCTCGTACTTTAGCTGCAAGGGGTCGAACATGGTTATGTAGTTCTCCTCTCTCATCTTTGGGGCATAGAATATGGCACCTTTTGTTGGAGGACAAGCAGTAAACTCTGACTTCGAATGAAACTCCAACCTTTCTACTTTGTTTGCCATGGGAAATCCTTCTCGTGACTAAGTGACGGTCAACATAGCTTCTGTATTCAGTGGAACACACAAGCCTCACAACCACTACAAAATGGAGACACATTAAAGGAGTTAAGCATACTTGATAAAACAGTAATGTAAATGTAGATACACAACTCACCAAGCAACAAAGCAAGGCAATATCCAACTGGAGCCTGCGTCTGTACAAGTCCATTCCACGCCGCCGACTCCGCTGAACCATTGATGTATCCTCCTCCAACCATTGTAGCTGTGCAATGGAAAGTTCTAGTGAATCTTGTTTTGTATAAGCTTGATCTAAGTCAGCGGCTCTCAACCTATGGCTCGCGACCTTATTGGGGTAGAACGACCCTTTCAGAAAGACCATCGCAAAACACATATTCGTCGAAGTTATAAAGTAGCGACGAAAATATTGTATGGTAGAGGGTCGCCACACAATGAGCAACTGTATTAAAGGGTCGCTGTATTTGGGAAGGTTGAGAACTACTGATCTAAGTTAATGTTAAATACCTGGGTTTTTTAACGTTATTTTACAAAAAAATTTAATGTAACGTAAAATAAATATGTTTTGTATTAGTAATCCGATGGTTCGGCCACTCGGAGAGCATGCTTTGTGATGCATTGGCGTACAAGACATACATTAAAATAGGATATTGACGATAAGCCTGAGGTAGACCAAGAATTATTGTGGAAAGATAATATCAGAGAAACTTTTTAACAACACGATGTGTCTCTGGTTGAGGCCGTCAGAAGAACAAGGAAACATAACCTTTTTATTTTCCTCTACACCCGAAGCGTAAAAAAAAAAGGAAGCAAAGAAGGCATGTTAGTAAGTCAATAATTTGTTTCAAAAGAATGATTCAGGGTTTTAAAAATAGTTTCGCTTTTCAGGAAGTTAGTAAATCAGTCTCTTGTTACATCTGTTTAGTCAAATTAAAAGTGCAATGCTCAGTTTCCATACGATAGGCCCCTAGCAGGTTGAACCTTTTTTTTTTTTAAAGAATTGGACTGGAACCGATATGGATAGTTGTTTGAGAAATTGGAGAAGGTTTTGGGGATAAACAGCAGAATGGAGAACGACATGTTTGATGACGGTTTACAATTAGAAGAGTGAGGAAGAAGAATATGCGAGACTCATAAAACAATCAGTTTTGTAGTTTGATATTTGTCATATATTAAACTACGCGTATAAGTCAAGTTACTGGATGTGTTATAAATGCCGACACATACATAAAAGTGAACATACGCAAATGTGATAGACATAAATTGGCTGTTAAACAATTCACAGATGTCCTTTTTATTACTTGTTGAGAGACGGCAGATAATGTCAATGCCGATTCACAAACGATATGATATTTTTCACTACCACAAAAGGTCTTCTTACATTCATAAAATATGTGATCCTTTACACATTCACATACATTTCTACCCTTTATCATTCATACAAGATGCTACTCTTCAAACATTCCCAAAAGATGTCATTTTTTAACACATCCAAAAATCATGTCAGTTTTTATACATCCCGAAAAGATGTCGACCTGACTCTGTCCAACAGTTCTTCGTCGTAATTATCTAAACGGACCCTACCTTATAATAAGCTCTTTTGAATAACATGGAAGAAAATCGCTCAGCGTGCAATGAGCTGCCACGTGGGGATATTTGCTTTGTAAACCCTGACATTATTATAATAGATCATTGTAGGATCAAGTAAATACTCCAACAGGCAACCTACTGTAATGACCTCCCAGTAAAATAACATAAATTATTGTTTGATGTTTTCTATCACATGTAAGTGGGGCTTTATTGATATCCTACCCCAAACGGGGGAAATCCACAGGTCACAGGACAGTCTAATATTTCAAAGGTGGTAGATATGCTGCATTCAATCGTAGGACATAGGCTGCATGCAGTCGATGAATCTAGGCTGCACTCTCTCGTGGGACGCAGGTGGGTTGGGGTTAGGGCCAGTTCTAGATGTTTTGGGGTCATTAAAAGCATCAGAAAGCGGGGAAACCCAGTCTTACCCTCTAAAATGTTGGACTGTCATGTGATGTCATCTGGGGGTAAGATAGTAATAAAGATGTGTAAGTGCTTACCGTACTATCGGTTAGTTGCGTATCATTTACAGGACGTTGGTTTTTCTAGGCAAATTTACGTCCAGTAGTTCGCCATTGCCTCTGGACGGTCACCTTTCTTGATACCACTGTTGAAACCAACGCAAGGCGTATGGCCGCAGCTGGGATTGAACCCGGCCTCCTGGCATTACTAAGCGTTCGCCACAGAGCCGACTACTGTACTATCACTTCACAATAAAACGCCAGTGTTTAACAGTAAGGATTTCCCTGCTTTTTTTCCCATCTGTTAAATGTATGGTTCCATTTTATGTTACCGTCTTGCCTTTCGTTTTTTTCCCCAAGACAGAAGTTAAGTTCAAATCCTTAAACGCGTTGACTCAAACGTTATTCAATATCTTGCGGTCTATTCTAGTCTGGTCCATATTTCCTCTTATAACTGTATCTGTGACCGCGCTCGTCTGTGTGTTTGAATTAACATGGAACCTTATCATAGCATTAGTACATTTTGCATATGATGCTAGCTACATAAGTGTATAGACTTATCTGCACCCGGTGGTAGATGCGGTTAACATTAGCCGCCTTTACTTTACTGGGCATTTTCTGGTACCCATAAATGCTGGATGGATTTGGTAACCCTCTTAAACAAGTATTTGTATTTATTTTAGTACTTTTACTATGTCGATTCTACAGAATAGACTCTGCAGCATACCACGGACTGGTTTTCTCAATGTGTGTCATTTGCAGAGACGGTGATTCATATTTTTTTTTTCTTCTAATTCTGAATACCTGTAATGTTCTGTGAGCTTCCTGTGTGTCTTTAAGAATGTTTAGCACTGCGGATGTTGAACACAGATGAAGAAAGTGAACGGGCAATAAGATACCAATTTATTTAACATACCGCCGGGTTCGCTAGGGTAGTTGGTTAAACCTGACTTCGCGGCGAGCGGGTGAAGAACTCCTTGTGGTCCGGGTTTACCCTCGGGGGTACGCAGAAAAGCCACATTTCTCCCAGATTTACGGTATCTATCATGGACTCAGAGCCGAAAGGTTGCGATATTCATAGTATTGAGCCAAAAGTGTTAACAACTTATGGTTTCTAAATACTTAATTCCCCCCCCCCCCCCAAAATGGAACTTACCCGTTATGGTGAAGCAGGAAACAAAAATGCCAAAACTGCGGTCAGCCAGCAACACAGCATCGTTGGACGTGCTTTTGGAGGTCTTCCTGCCAGCGATAACACCAATCACCAGGATTGCCACATAGAAAACAGCCACAGCCACGATTCCAGGTATGTTGACAGTCATCGTGCTGGCTGAGGTGTGGTGGTCACGATTTTGGTGATGGTAATAATGATGGCGGCCTTTTGGAAAGTACCATAATATTTTTTTAAGAATTGAAAACGGGTAAAATGATTAAGTAGAGGATCATGTTCGCTCCTTTAGCATATCAGGCTCATGATGCTAGGTCTACATCTTCTTCTTCTTCTTCTTCTTCTTCTTCTTCTTCTTCTTCTTCTTCTTCTTCTTCTTCTTCTTTTCCTCCACCATTTACCTCAGCGAGGTGTTGGGGGAAGATGTAAGGATCGTTTGTGCGCTTTTTGCAATGCATTGGAAGTTGGAGTTCATTTCTGTTAGGTCGCTTTTGATGATGTCGCTTTATATCTTGCGTAGTCTTCCTCTTGCTGTGTGTTCATTATGTTTCTTCAGCGTGGCAGCTGGTACCAGGGCATTCTCGTCAGGTGGCCAAACCATCTCATGTGTGTGTTTTTTAAATGAATAATATGACTTGTTTCAGTCCTAGTCTTCTAATTTCTTCCTTCTTGATTTTATCTCTTATTGTCACACCCGCAGGTTATGTCTGACTTGACTGAATTATAATAAAATAATAACAATGATAATAATAATGTTGTGAGATTTAAATAATTATAAAAATATATTTGAAATAATAGGAGATGTCTTTTCAGGGTGGCTAATCCGGACAACAAATGTCTGAAGAAAAAAAAAAAACCGTATGTCGGCCGAGTGGCGCGAATATCGCATCAATGCTGTAAACATGCACGTTTCAATTATGTCTTCGGATGAACGCGGAAGAAGAAGATATGAGGTTATTTTTTTTTTTTTTTAACTTAAAAAAAAACTTTAAAAAAAAAAAAACAGATTTATTGCAAGGCATATTCGCTGTATCTCGTCAGTTGCGTTACAACAAAGTTACATCAACATATACTAAAGCACAAAAACAATAGATTCCACTGAAATATAAATGGTTTCTCTCTCGAGATACATCGTGTGTTGTTCATTTTTATTGTTAAAGTCTCGGCCATTTTTAACTGTTCGGTGTGCAGTAAATTACACTGAAAGAACTGTCCTTGTCAATTACGTGTCAGGAATCAGGCAAGTGACCTCCTATAGAAGTGGTACGTTCTTTTTACTTGACAGGTTTTCACATCCTTGTAGAATCACACAGCTTTGTATGTAGCCATTATGTTAATATGTTCAGCTGCTTTATTTTCAAGTTGTTTTTCGGTTCGACCAGTGAAAGTCAACTTGCCCTTAGATGTAAATTCGTAAATACAAATGGTTTGGTGTACGGGGACACTAGCTTTTAAAAGGCGGGGTTGGGATGAAAGTAGTTTTGTACCTCACTGTTAGAACCATTGTTTTTAGCCGGTCATGCAGACACTACATGACGTCATCACCTCGCTAAGTTAGTTAAAATACTTGCAGTGTGGATACTCTAATTTTTTTCGTATTTGTTTTATGTGTGGTGCATTCTGAATGAATAATTAATCCTGTGGGGTACCTTTCAGAAGTAGATATGTCTTACTTTCCGCTGCCATTGTAACTTCGGAACAAATCTTTCTGGCACGGTTAAACAAGTTTAATAGACCACGTTTGTACCGAATGAGTGCAAAACTGTGAAAGTGTAGATACTTGTCTGTACGTATTTCTTTTTGGTACACTAATGTTGGATACTGCGTTTGTTCCCTTACCAATGAGCCTTCTTCCCTACTCCAAAAAGAAATTGAGAGAAAAAAAAAGGGTACCAAAAAGACAAGTACCTACACTTTCACAATTTTAAGGGGTCTAAACCACCAGCCTCCGGCGTCCTTGTCCTTAGAGGAGGATTTTAAAGGTAAACGTTCCGGCAGTCTTTTTTTTTAAAGACAGATTCTTTGGTACCGAATTGGGGATGGGTAAAAAATGTAACAAACTCATTTCTAAGAATGGCAATTATATTAACCATACAAAAATACACAGCGGGAAGAAAATAAAGAAAATAGGGACGAGTTGATAAAAAGAAATAAATTTACTGTTCTTTTCTTCTGTTAAAGAGGTCCCGGAAACCCCGTTCATCCGTTAGGCCATATTTAAACCCGGCTATATTTAGGGCCCTTGGCGAAAGCCAGGGTAGGGCTTCAAAATAACAAAAAATTGCATCCAACACGGGGACAGCGCTTAAACAGAAACAAATGTGAGAAACAAGTAAATACATTTTTTTAAATGGCGCCATTCTGCCTTTCCAGACGACAGTGTTGTACTGTGCTACAGGGAGGCTTTGGTATCACGCCTGGAGAGCGTAACTGGCAAGAACGGCTCACGTTACGAAAATTCTTATACAATAAGAGCATCTTATTTCATGACCATTGTTGCAATCCCTTGTATTTAAAGTGCTTTTTCTCAGACGCTCAGCTCTAAACCTACCTGCAAATATTTTATACACCCTGCGTATTATAATTACAAGACAGGGAAAGAATATAAACTCAGGCGGAACCAGACTTTTTTTTCAAAAATGACCTTGATTCCCAGGTCGTCACAGCCTTGAGTGAGTACCACGTGCAGTCATGGGAAGTAAAGGCGGCCGGCATACTGCTGACCACATCACCCACCATGTGCCGATTCGTCTAAAAATAGAGGTTTAGTCCTATATTCCCAATACGCCTAAAGGCGTAGAAAATGAATATTTTTTACCTTATATTTTTGTTGGACTCGATTTTCAGTTAGTGAGGCATTCGCTGCTAATATGGGAGCTAGAAAATCTGAAACACATTGCTAAAATACCTCAAGGGTTCGGAATGCTGAAGGTAGAGAAAAAACCCATAAATAACGAAGTTTTCATAAATACCTTATAAATTATACACCACTATGATTAGAGAAAACATCCAAAAGGAAATATATTGTACACTGCAACTTGATTATGACCCGAAGTATTGACATCATTTCACATTTCTAGAGCAGCTCCAATGAACGAGAACATGGAAATAAACAGCTGGCACTTTAAAGCAAAAATCAAAAACAAAACAAGATGAGAGCTGCGGCAATCTTCTGTATCAAATGAAGCTACAATTGTTCCACTGTTTACCTTTGTTGTATGGACAGCTCTGCCTAGTCCAGCCTAGAATGTGCACCAATATTGCAAGTAACGAATACTGCAGGCAGACGTTAGGTTTAAATTATTCATAACAGTTCCCACCTTTGTTGTTTGTTCCACGCGTTAGACAGCCTGCGTGGTTATCAGCACACTGCGCAGTGTGAGATAATGTACTGCACTCTCTCTTCTATAGCACTCTAGATCGCTGCCGAAATTGTTTTGGGGTATAGTACCAAACTTGTGTGCTGGGGTTGGGGGGGGGGGTGTCCCAAATGCACCAAATGGTGCCACATTTTTAATTTTCAATTTGAAAACTATAAAAACGAATTTAAACACACACACACACACACACACACACACACACACACACACACACACACATATATATATATATATATATATATATATATATATATATATATATATATATATATATATATATATATATATATATATATATATATATATATATATATATACTAGCTGTTCCCGGCCACACGTTGCTGTGGCATAGTTTGACTAAATGGAAAAGAAAGAAAATAGAAATCACACGTGTATAATATGGTAACTGTCGCAATCATTTTCTGTGCACATACAGAGATAGTCTTCGATGCCCTTCCCCTCCCCCTCCCTTCCCAAATCCACTTACTACTCGCTCCCTCATCAAAGGCTTTTGGAAAAGAAAGACGATAGAAATCGCACGTGTCTAATATGGTTAACGTCGCAATCATTCTCTGCACAGATATAGAGATAGTCAGGTTTGCCACTTTAGAACACGCAACATATTATTGTGTCTTTATATTAGTAGTCGTTTAAATGGCATTATTAGCACAGAAAAAAATGGTTACTTGGTTATCACATGCTAAAGCTGTATTTTTTAAGAGGCGGAAGTAAAAGCTTACTACTGTACTTGTAAATAATCATGTAAGTCGTTAAAAAACAAATGAGAAAAGCGGAGGTAGCGTTAGTAAAATATAAACAAATTGAGAAATGAAAACTTTAAAATCATGCGTTAAGCTTTTTAAGTTAACAATTTCTGTCACCACTACTCCCTTCCCCTATCCACCGAATACTACTCTCTCCCTCATCGAAGTATTTGAAAGTCATCACCCGACGATATTTTTTGTAACTGACCTTGATACCCCTGTCCATCCTGACTAAAATAGGGAGCAGGAATTGTGATGAGTAGTGAATGCGGCTAGTGTAATATTTACCACACTATCCTTCAAGTACCAGTACAACTACTACCACCACCACCACCACCACAATAACTAAAATATTGTCACTGCTAACTGTTTTACTGTCGGAGTAGACATGGAGTTGTGAGCCGGAGGATTTGGCGCCGCAAGGCTAATGCTGTCGGCA